CAGTGTCCTCCAACAGCCAGCAGTCAACTCACATAAAAATAAAAATGTACCATTATTCATTCAATAATCTGCAAAAACACATGCATATCAGGCCATGTACAGCAACTGATCTGACATAGACTTACATTAGTAATTTGTAATTTCTTACATTGTTTTTATGGTGGTTTAGCTCTAACCCGGTGCTAATAACAGGGTGTAAAATCTTTAGTTAACCTCTAAATTAACTTTTAAATTCTACCAACTGTTTCCACTGAGGTCTGTGGATCTTCGAGAATAACAGGGACTGGCTTTGAAAAAAACGCATTGCTGTTTAATTTACCAGAATCCCCAGGGGCTCAGTGATTTTGTGGTTCCACTCAGAGTGGAACAGCTTTTTTCTTTTTGGGGGATCAAAATGTGGAATTCCTTACCCACAGAACCTGGATCCTGACTGGGATTTTGTCAAACTCAAACTGAAATTGTTTTTGAAGAGGGATCAGTCACATAGTGATATGTAGCGATCTGGTGCTTCCTTTATTGATGTCCTGTACAGTTCCGTCTGTATTACTTGCTGAGTTATTTTTTTAATGCACATAAACAACTGAGTTTGTGTTTTATGCTTTTGTACTTGAAGGCCCATCTAGGGATTTGCACTGCAAATTAGCTTAGTCTATAAATATTGTGGTGTGTGGCATTTGTTTATGACGCATACTAACAAATAATAATAATAATATTACACTTTTTTTTTTTTTAAATGGGTTGGTGGGTAACTAATCTCAACTGCAGCTTCCTCCTGCCGCTGCAGCCTTCACTATCACAGCTATAGGGCCCATTATCATCTGCAATGATTTCTGCTTGCACCTTGTGTACACCTGCACCCTTTTAACACCAGATCCTGACTACAACTTCTTCGGATTGCCTCAATCCTTGTCTACGATCTGTTTGACGGCCGTTTCTGTCAGCCTCCGGCACTTAGCCTCAGCTTCACCGTACAGTTGGCACAAGTCAACTGCAGCTTCTGGCATCCACCCACAGCCTGCAGCCTTTTTTTTTATCAGTCAGGTGCCGCCACAGCATGTCCCTGCAGCTTCTGACAGCCAAAAAAATAATCTGATGTCTATCTAAACATCAACCCCCAGTGAACACCATTTAAAGCCCGCACAGCAGCAATCATCGTCTTACAAATTTCAGTTGGGGACTTGATAGATTTACAATTCATATTCTCAGTCAACCTTGAGTGTGAGTTATGAAGCCTGAGGCTTTCACTGCTCAGAGTGTAAATACTGATCATCATTATTCCAAGCAGAACAAAGCATTAATCACTGCAGCTGTGTTTTTATCGATGTACAGTAAACTTGGATTGAAAACAGCAATAGGGGATGCATGATTAGGGTGGACAGAGAGTCTGAAATTCAGAATAACCTTTTATTTTCCTGAAACTTGCTCAGAGGTTGAACGAGATTGTGTTTCCAAGGGTTTTGAGGTTATAGCAGCGAACGCAATAATTAAAATGTTAAAATGTTTTATTCTAATTTTTGTTGACCTTGATTTATGAGTGAAAATAAGTCCCTGAGAGAGAAAGGTCTTGTGAAATATGTGTCTTTATAAGACATGAGCGCACCAGAGAAGAGGATTAATGCTCCCTTACAGCTCCTGTGTCTCCAGTTTCCTTCTTGAGAGGGGTCACTGGTCTCTCTGCGTCCCATTGGAGGATCACATGATAGCAAAGCTTCCTCTCATGGAGCACTCAGTTCCTCGAATCCATCCATCCATCAGTCTCTTTTGTCTCTCGCTCTCTCGTTTGCCTCATTGCAATCAATCCTTGGATTTTTAGCCTTTTTCCTGTCTGATTTAAGTCGGGGGGCAGCCCCAGCTCAGAGGATCCAGCCCAGTTGATCATGTCACCCTGTTCCATGCATGATGGAAGGGCAGATGAGGAGAAAAAAGTCGACTAATCTTCTCTTTCTTGTCCTCCCACTCTTAGCTATCAGCTATCCCAGGGTCCCAACCTCTATCACACCTTGGAGATTGGATTGGTTTCCCCCTGCAGTGGACACTGGGACTGGGAGACGAGAGGATTTGGTCAGATGTACCTATGAGTTTCTTACACACCAGATTGCTCCTGCGCTGTTAGTGCGGCAAGCCAAGAGGCCGCGGCGATGATTGTTGCGCTGGCAAATGCACCGAGAGGGATGTTTTCATGCTCCATCCATCTGGTGCAGCATTTTCATGTTTTCTGATGAGCTGACAGCCCAAAGAAAGCTGTTAGTCATCTCGGCGGAGCATTGTCCTTTGTGCCCAAGACAGACTGTGTTGTGCTTGATTTAAGTCATTAAGGCCTAAGAGCAAATCTCTTTGTTGACCAAGAACAAACTGGTAACTGATTGTGCTCTCCCAATTAAATGTCTCTCAGTAATGTCACAACCAACTGAGCGACTACATGCAGACTGGTGGTAGATTTTGACTCGGGGACAGATGGGACAGCTCTCTCTCTCCGTGACTCCTCTTTCAAAAACAAACCTTTATCTCCTGCTGTTTGAGAAATGAGTGTGAAGCCTGACAGCAAAGGATGTTGAGGACGAAGCACGTGTAAATACACTTGACTCCATGCTTATATGCCAAGTACTGAGAAAAGCAAAGGCTGTGCACCGTAAATGTCATCATGTTGTTGAACAAGAACAAATAAATCACATTATTCAAATCTTCCATTTATGTATTTGTTTTGTTTTAGATAAGCACTTAAAATGGCTATAATCAATATTCTCATAATAATACAATCAGTGGAAACAATGTGAAAGGGGTCACTCATATGACCTGCAGAGAATTATCACCTGCATCTGCAGCTCATGTTGGCTTTACAGAGCTTTATAGTGAGTTCCAGATCATAGACCAGACCAACACATAGGGGCACTTCGCAAAACATCATAGCCATGCCCGTTTTTTGGGGACTAGAAAACCAAATATTTTGTAAGTGTAAAGGTGCAATTTGATGCATGTTTGGATTACAATTTTGACAGGTTTAAATGCATTCATTTCATATTAAAAGACAAGTGTAAAGGACTTAGTGGCATATCTGCAACTAACTGAGCAGTGCTCACGTCTGTATTTTCCAACCTGAGTGTTTGGTTTGTCTGTTTTGGGTCACTGTAGAAACATGGAAGTTCAACAAAGCAGACTCCATGGAAGGCGATGGTAGGTAATGAATAATTAACGATTCATATATTCAGGTGATTATACACTAATAAAAACATATCTATGAATATTGTATTCCATTTCTGTCAATAGATGTAAATGTTACAAACTGGACTGGAAAACTGTTTCATAGACAGTTGTAGACCATCAGACTCCACAACAGGACTAAGACTGGTTCAAACTCCAACCTACAACGCACAAACCTTTTGCACAACCGTTTATATTTAAGTTGCAAATGTACAGTTTAGTTTTTAGTCAAAGCTGCTCAAATATTTGCACACCATTTTAACTTACATATTACATATAGTGTATATACTTTTCATTTATAGTCTTATATACTATAATATATCTGTTATATTTTGTAATGCTCTTATTTTGTGATATCTTATTTCCACTTCTGTACTATTTGCACTACATTCCCCTATACTGTGTGTAACTTGAATTTCTCCTACGGGGGATCAATAAAGGTACATCTTATCTTATACCTTGAAAAATGAAGGTTGATCAGTCAGCCGTCATGCTCTTTTAGTCTTCCCCCCTCTATACATATTTCATTGAATCAACAGGTTTGCCTGTAAATAACTTTATCTGTAGACCACAGTCATGTTCACTGCTGCTGCTTTACTGTAGCCTATGACCGTACTCAAGCAGCCTCCTACTCAAGCTAGCTATCCATCAGTAGTACCTGTCATCAGCATCATTTTGCTATTTATCACACTGACAGTGAATATTCATGTATATCATGTGCCTATAATCTCAGTGTGAAAGCCTGAGTTATTAATATGGTTGTTTCTAGTTTCTTATTTGGCATCGAAACTAATTCATTTTTGGGCCTATTGTCATCAAAAAGTAATTTAGCATGCTGCCAAAATAAAGAATTACCATTCTCTGGAGGCTCACACATTCTTACTGCTCTCCTTTTGGGATCTCTTTCCTTTCCAGGAAGGATGGGATCTGGATTTATAAGTTTATTTGTTTGACAACCTGCTACATACAATAGCTTTTTTTACATTTTCAAAAATATGGAAACATAAAATGTATATAATCTGTAACTTTATTTGGAACTGTGAAATAGTATTGGATTTGCTATTTCATTGTTGACTGGGTAAGAAAAAATATATGTGACCTTAGCCAGAATAAATAAGTGAAATTGAAATCAGTCAACTTTGTCCTGGAAATCGGTGTGTACCTTTGGCTTTTGGCTTTGGGTATTCAACATTGGAACTGTCAGAAAAGTGATACATATTTTTTTGCCTGTAGTTTAGCTGCTAATAATGTTATGTACTAATACAACACCACCATAAAATGGCCTTGAAGTGTCATCAAATATTGCCCATTATACCCAGTTGCATAGGATTTTAATTCATATTTTGTGTCCAACTGTATGTCAACAAAGTAGTAAAATACAATTTATTATTTCCCATTAAGATAATTTCTCAACCAAAAATGTGCAATAAAATTAGAAATTGTATTTATTTATTTATATCAAAAAGAAGAGAAAAAAAGACCACGCAAGGTAATATAATAAAAGAGAAGAAAAAAAAAATAGGACTCACTTCTGTCACAGACTTGAAATTAGAAAAGTTAAAGAGATGAGTGTAACTTAAAAGACACATTTCAGAAAAAAAAAAAAAATACAACTGACATCCATATTAACGAAGAGTGACACAAACGTACGAGTAGGTATAATCTGTACAGCATTATAAACCATATTTCTTTCGCTCTCGTTCAGTGAGTGTGTGTGTTTATATTCTGTGTGACAGGAACAACAGCGGTGACGTTTCACGACAGCCTCGCCGCCCCAACGGTGCATTCTGGGTCCAACCCAAGATGGCTGCGCCCTTGCAGAAGTGCTGAAGAAGTGCCTCTCCGGAGAAATTCTCGGGATTGTGCGGGATTTTCGCGAAAACCAAAGCACCAAATCAGCTACCAGGGTCGCTGGTTTGTAGAAGGAGGCCATAAGACCCCAGTCATCGCTAAGTGTGGCCGGTGCTTCGTGTGGCTGTGGCAGACTGTCCGTGTGAAGATGGGCCTCGTCTCCAGCCCCTTCCCATAGCGAAGAGCCGTGGGGAGAGGAGCCGCAGATTCCCCTGCAAACACGCACCCGTCCAGCTTGGATTCGACGGGTTTGACATACTCTACAGGCTGTGGACGCTGCCCTACCATTTTCTGACCAGGATTGTTTGTGCGACCGTGTCTGTCATCGTCCGGAGACGGAGAGCTTCCTCAGCCCGGGTCGATAATCCCACCGCACCAAGGTCTGCCCCGCATCTGCCCCGCATCTGCCACCACTAGCGCCATTTCTGCACATCTGCTCTGTCTCACTTTTCTCTCTGCTCGTGTTGTTTCGCAAGCAGCCTGGAAAGAAAGAAAGAAAGAGAGAAAGAGAGAAAGAGAGAAGCGGCTGTAAATAGCATTAGCCCGTCGTGCTGTGAGCCAGAGCTGTCACATTAGCCGCGCTGCTCCAGCTAGCACTGAGCTAGCCGACCGGGTTATTAGCTCCGGCTGTGGACTCCCTTTAACACAGCCGGGCCTTACTCACACACCACACACACACAACACAACCAGCCCCTGGTCTGTGGCTCGAGCGGTGTTCACGTGGCCAGCTGGAGCCTCCATCATGACATCATCCAGGTGCTGTGTCCCTGTGTGACAGTGTGACAGTGTGACACCGGCCTGATGCTGCCGTGAGGAGGCAGGCAGCCACACTGTTGACCTGAACGAGTCCAGATGTGCGTGTGTTTGGTTTCAGTTGTTGTGATTTTGAGATTGAGGTTGACACGTGACTCATGTACCCGTCATAAAGTGGAAAACTCCGCAGCCACTGAGGTTTTTCACGTTGTCAGATATTGGTGTGACAGAAGGTACTGAATTCAAACCCACATACGCCCACTGGTGTCTTTCTGTTTTCACAGCCGTAGGGTAAATGCCTCACTAGCATTACACTAGAAGTGAAAGAGAAAAATGTTTTAGCTCGACTCCATGGCAACAGCGAAGCTTTTCCTAGAGGAAGAGTTTTTTGCTGGGAACATCACAACTGCACTGAAAGCCCTTTAGATGGAAGCTAGGCTGCGAGTTGTGTAGTTGTTTGTATTGTTTGAATTTCTTTCATACTCATTATGATGCCTACGATGTTTGGATGTCTTCCTTTGAGCATCAAAAATGTTCTTTTCTTCTTTTAACAAACAGAGCCAAAAATTCCAAAACGTTAAAGGGAAAATGGACCATGTTTTATGTCCAGTGGATGTCCAGACAGTATTGATGTCCAATGTAGTCAACTGAAGCATTAGATTATTCAGTGCAGGCTATACTGACTAGTGATAGACCAATTCATCTGGCTGATTATCTGGCATTTGGAGTTATTTGGCACCAGCCAATATCTGCGCTCTCAAGGCCGATAAACTAAAACTGTCTGACGACACATCTGCAGGCAGCCTGGTCAGTGCAGCTGCTGTGGAACAGTGTAAGTGCTCTCCCATGTGAGTTTTGGGAAGATGGTGAAAACGTTGGGTTGAAGCCCTGTTTTGTAACTGTCATGCATCTGGCTGTAAACATACGTATACCTGAATTTCCTGCAGGGTAGAATAGAATTACACAGGGCTTTTCTCCCGTTTGATATCGGCCGTCGGCAGCCCTGCTCTGTAAATATCGGCATCAGCCATTGAAACACCAATATCGAAGAGAAGAAAGCTGAGTTGTGTTGCTTGCAGAGCGGTGCCAGTATGCACTGGCTCAAGCACTGATAGTATATATAAGCTAGCTTCCCACGCCACCATACACATGGTAAAAAAGAAATGATGCCACTTACAGGTGGCATCATGGTGGAGAAGGCGACTTCTCCACTTCTTCACCTCTAATTCCTCCAAGTGATGATTTTCTTAAATATAAGTCAAGAATCAGTGAAACTGAAATCTTATACATTAGTTAAGTAGAACGTGGCTAATGTATCAGCCATTTTTATCGTTGCTGTGAGAGTAAAGAGTATGTTTTTAGTGTTAGTTTCCCACCACAACAGGCCACAGAAACTCAAATGAAATCTGTGTCACTAACAAGCGCTCTCCCCTGCAGGGCCCTGATGAAAATGGACTCAGAATTGCTTCATTCGCCGGCCGTGGGCCTCGCAGAAGAAGAGGAGGCTGACATGAATGACTGGAAACTTCCACTGGCCTTCATGAAGAAACGGCACTCGGAGAAGATTGAGGGCTCCAAGGCCTTAGCACAGAGCTGGAGGATGAAGGACAGGGTAATTTCTCTGCTCATCTTATGTCTGGGGTAATTCGGCAGGTTAAGGATGTTCCCTGTGCTGGGCCGTGGTTTGAGTCTCTCTCCTGTAGTGCTGAGGGAACCATGTTAGTTTTTATAGATGGAACTAATAAAACAGGAAATCTGGGACAGTTGATTATAATTGATGATTATTTTTTCACTTTGAGGTGAGCGTCACAGACATGCACGGAAGGTTTTATTTCTTTCTTTATTTTCTTTATTTATTGGTTTATTTTAACAGGGACAGTGTACATTAATTAAACAGACTAACACGTTGTCAGTTTTGGTCTTTTCAGGAATTTCTTGACCATCAGAAAAATATAGAATACTGAAAGCCTCATCCTTAGACACTATTTCTATTATCTGCACAGTTGTTGCTAATGTTTAACCTTGACTTCAAGTTTACTCACTACTTTTGGAATTTAGCGATGTCCATACATATTCATTTATGCACCAACTGCAATCAGGGAAGGTGTCACCAAGAACACGGTATCAGTACTCAGTTCAGGTACCTGGAAGGAAAAAATATGGTAACGTTTCTATAAAGGAAGAGTTTGACACTTGGACTTATTTGCTTTCTTGTGAAACACTTAGATATGAGAGTGATATGAATCAATCATATTTCCTAAAGTATTGCAAACCAAAAAGTGTCTTTGTGGTTTGCATTGATAGTGTAGGCGCTTGGCAGCAGAAAGATGACTGAGGTCGTCCAAGTTTGTGTTAAGCTGTGATTGGTGCATTAAGGGTAGGGGTAGTGCTTAAGATTGGTCAGTTGGCCCTCCACAATACCAAAATTTCAGTTCGTTAAAGAGACGAATCAGATGCACTGATGCCTCACACTGTGCTTTGAGGGGACATCTGTCTTTAAACAGCCAGGACACAGCAGCAAATCACTGGCTACCCTTGTCTTTATTACAGTGCTAATTCATTACATTCTGCTGGAGGCTACCCGTGCTACGCTTTGACGGGGGAACCTCACTGCTTTCCCTCATGAATGGCCACAGTGTATTTCAGCTCTCATAAAGCTGTCGTTTGATCCACTGCGGTGCCACCAACCTTCTTCTTTCATTGCCTCGTGGCTGCAGAGCGCTACCGTTGTAATGATGGCAAATGCTACGTAGTCATGCATAATGCTCACAAAAAATGCACCTATTGTAGAAATTCGTCTAAATGAAAATGTAACACATCGCTGCCGTTAGGACATCAGTGGAATTACCACGCAGTGCCTGCCAAAGTGTCAGGCTTCAGGGAAATGTTGAATTAGAAGGCATCATTAAATGTGACTCTGGTATTGATTTAAAAGAGGTAATAGGAGCTGGCTGAAATGGGCATTCCTATCAGAAAGCCATGCTAAATCAGCGTGTAACATTTTTCACTGCTCAGAGCGTTTTCAGGCCATAGACCCTCATTTGTACACTTGTAAGAAGAATGTGTCCTTTCACATTTCTGGGCTCAGAGACCTGCGACTAAAGAGAGCGTTTTGTGTTTTATTCAGGGAGTATTTGGCTTTGAATGTAACTCTGGCCCGGGGTTAAATCCATCTTTTAAGATGGCACTAATTGCAAAATTATGGATTTGAAAAAGATTTTTTCAAAAGTAATCTTTTTGTTTGATAATGTGATTGGGATATGAATGGCAATGGATGCACTTGCAGCTTTTTTGTGTACTTTATTTTTCTAAATTTGTTAGCACGCTATATTTACTTGTAAGAATATTCAGGGTGCTTTTTGACATTAGTTTAGCATTCGGTTAAGTTGTCATAGTTTTCACTCAATGAAGCCCTGTAGGTTAATGGAGTAGGGCTGCACAATTAATCGCAATATTATTATAATCGCAAAGTGCAGTATCCAACTCACAGGAAGCTAATCATGAATCATTTCATATCAGTCTCAAAGCAATTGCAATGTGACGTTTGTACTATATTGTGCAGCCCGAGCCCTGATACAGTGGAGTGTCCTTGATGTTGGGTGCATGGAGCGCTTCAAGCTCACCTGCTATTTTGGTTCATGTATGTGCAGCAAGTGGCTGGCTGCAGTGGAATATGGATCAGAGGGTGCGTTGATTAATAAATACTCTCAGCCAGTCACGTCACAAGTTTCAATGCTCTGAAACAGCTGAGCCAATCACAGAGAAGCATGTCGACAACCACTCAAATAAAACAGCTTCTCCAGGAAATCATTATTGTTGTCCTGAATGTGCAGAGCAGCATATTGTCAACACATAGCACCAAAACTCTGCAGCCAAAGGCAGATGGTGTAGTTTACTGGTAAAATGATGATAGAGAGAAACATTAAAAATTGTTTAGTGAAGCCACTTAAATGATCGCATCATACCAACACTATTTCAGTCTTAATCCTACTGCAGTTCACTTTGTAAATGGTTAAATCGTGTCTGAAAGTGTGATACAGTGACATTTGCTTAGTAGTGCATGTCTGATGTGAGTAGAGGTGTGTGTGGTTATTTTGCAGCAGGTGTCGTTTGCATGTGATTTAATGAAGGTGAAACTGGTGGACAGTTGTGTGCAATGGCACTGTGCTCTGGTGCTGCAGATTTATCAACACATGTGTCCTGCTGCCTTCAGATGGCTTAAAGGTTATTTTTTGATTTAAATAGATCTACTAGTTGGACAGTGCTAAATATTTATTTTTTTACATTTGAAGCATTATTTGGTTATTATTTAGTTATTACTGCATATGTAGTAATTTATTCACTGCACTGGGCACAAGCACAGTTCAGGAACCAGCCTGCACTGGTCATTGCAGTGCCCCAAACATGGTACTAGAATGTTATTTTGCAGCTTTGTAGATTTTTTTTTTCAGTTGTTCATGGGTGATCACATACAGAACTTGGCCTGTAATTGCTTTGGATGATTTAAGCTGGTGGACAGTATCTTGCACTGTTAGGATATCGAGTGAGTTGGTATGCGAACGGTTAAGCCTGGTGAGAGAGGTGTGCAGTGTAAGGCATAGAGTGGGCAGTAAATTATGTTTTGCACTGTGGGAAATCAGAGGTCTTTTTCTTGGAGACATGTGTACACACACACACACACACTTAGAGAGTTGCCTCTGTATGAACACAGGGGGAGAGAGGATGGCTGTACAATTACAAGGCCCATTGGTCAAAATGGTGTGTTTATTCCCTTGTTGAGCCAATGACAGCTATTCAGTTTTGTGTGTGTATTTGCAATTGGGGCACAGCTGCTTGTGTGTCCCACTTTGTGTGCAGCATGATTGCGTGTACGTCTACTACATCTGTACAGTAGAATCGTGATAACAGTCTTCAGATATACAGTATGTAAGTCCAAGGTCAAGGCTACCTTCAGCTGACTAGTGGCCCCTTGAAGGAATAAAAAGCTACCTAATTGTTCTTTAGAAAGCTATTGAGAGGGCATAGAGTATTTTGACAGAATAGTAATTAAGGTCAGATGTTTGTCTAAGTATCAAGGTTACCTTATGGAGCTGTTGGACCTGCAGTGTGAAATTAAAACAGTCAGCTTGACAGGAAGTAAATGATTTTACATTGGTTTGATTAGTTCACATCAAGAAAATTAAAAATGACGCTAATTCGACAGGTGCTGTCTTTTGTTGCTTTCGGCCATTCTCACACTGAACACAGAACATGACACCTGTGTGTTGATAGCAAACGAACATGAACCTCGACCTGATAAGATGAGTGATTGCAGTAAGAGCTTTGACCAGTATTGATCCACGGGTGGTACACTTGTTTTTAGCCTGACAGCTGGTCATTGTAGGTTGGAATAAAGTCAAAAGCTGGATCAGTAAAAACAGTAAGAATTCACATGAATCCCGTATGTATAATATATAATGCATTATAACCATACACTGTAGGACAAACCTGGATTATGTTTATTAAGAGAAAAGTTGGGACTTTTGGGAGATTTTGGAAGCATTGATGGTACTGTAGTGTAGACCCTTGCACAATAGATTTACCATTACCACATGGTGTTTGAAAGAGGCAGCAAAACATGACGACCCAGTGAAAAGGATGATGTGATTCTGAACAGTAGAATAATTGACATTCTTCATAATTATGCTTTCTTATGACTGTTGTAATGAGAGCTTACATTAGCTCTAAAGATGCATTATGTATGTGGGAAAACACAGTAGCCAAAATCCAAATAAGAATGATGGAACACATTGATTAGACTTTTTCAGTCAGATGCTGTAAAACAAGACTGTCTGTGTTTGTTTCTGTTTACTTCAGTATTTAACAATACACTGATTAACACCTGCAGGCTTTAATTAGAAAATTGCTGGAGTGGACAAAAGTAGGCCTTTTTCACAGCAGATATCTTCACTTGTCACAGTGGACAAGGACAGGTGTTACTAACGGCATTAACAATGGCTCTGTTCTATTCAAGTGTCCTTGTAAGCCATGGCAGTGTGAACAACACCAGGACCCTGAAACGTGAAGCAGCTAAATGGAATTAAGCTAGCATTCATTTTATTATTTACACCTGTGCTTCTCCTACTGTGAACTGTTAAACTGTCTTTTGAAAAAGGCCTGTTTGGCCTGTGGACATGGGGATTGTTCCGCGATGATTGAGATTTCTAATCTGACAAAAAGAATGTGTATATCTGTCTTTGTGAGTACACACAGTTTTAGTCGTGACTCTACAGAGTTTTCTTCCTCTGGCCCCTGGGGTTTAAACATTACTTTAAAAAAATAAACTCTCTCAAAGCTGGATGTTGACCTACCTTGCACACAGAACCATTTCTCTCCCTACCTATTATGCTTCACAATCCCCTGTGGAGCTGTAAGCTGTGTGACGTCAGAGGGGCTTGACGCAAACTTTATGTCTGGCTCTTCTTAGCCTAACACTGTGGCCTCTTTAGAAACCCTGCCAGCATTCTGTCTCCCTCTGATGCCCATTTGTCCCGGCCCGATATCCTGTCAGACACAGAAATGGCGTCGTCGAGGCTTATTTTTAGGAGTATGGGAGCCGTTCAGCTTGTTCAG